GAGAGAGAGAGAGAGAGAGAGAGAGAGAGAGAGAGAGAGAGAAGAAAGAAGCCTATTTTTCACATCAGTGTAGCTCAACTATATTTCCTTTGAGATGGTGACATATATAATAAAATTTAAACAAAAGTCACTTTCATGCTACACTTACCTATTACGTTGTTTGTAATCTTTATATTATGCTGTTGAGCTTGAAAAGAAATCATTTTACCATCTTTCACAAAAAGAAGGAAAGAAAATATAGTATGAGTGCCCAAGTGCTTGGAAGTGAACCCAGTACTCAGTTTCCCTGTATTGATAAACAATCAGAGGTCATTGTATCTGTCCATCCATTTACTCCTTCATTTAAAACAGTGGATGCCAACTATGTGGTAAATGCTATTGTAGAGGCTAAGGGACGCATGGGTAAATAAGAAGATGCATCCTGATGCATCTTGCTTTTAAGAATTGAATTTCATGGTTCTTTGTTTTAATCTTATAAATTTAAAAATGATACCAATTTGAAAATAAGTAGGTTTTTTTTGTTGTTGTTGTTCCTGAAATGTTTTCCTCAGTGAAGAGAAGAAGAGAGATAGAGAGACAGATAATGAAAAAAAAGGATGAGAGTTTTTAAAAGAAAGTAGGAACAGTCTGAGAGTAAGCTAGGTCTCGTCGCTTTATCATAACAAAATCACATTGGACATTTTATACAGAAGAGTACACAGTTTCAGTTCAAATTCTTCTTATGAAGAAAATAAGTTCAAGGTTAGAAAATTCAAAATTTGCCAAAAGTTCAGCATTCACAATAGTGGTTTTAATGAGTTGAGAGCTATTTTCTGAAAAGTTTTTGAAACAATAAGCAATAATGTGTCAATTCAGACAGCACAGAGTGGATGTTATTTACATATGAGATGTGGTAAGATTGTAAAAATCTACAGAGTGTTTTAATTGTTACTCCTGCAGAGAAAAATGTCAAAGAGAAAACCCTATAGTACTATATGACCAAAACAGGAGCTTGTCCCCAGGCAGGTATGGAGGATGTGGACAGCCTTACCCAGTTTCCTGCTCCAAGGTACTGCTTTCAACCTCAGGCAAGGCAAATTTAAGAACTGTAAACTAAGAAAACAGATGTGGACAATGAGTCCCCATTTTAAATCAAACCACAGTTATCATGCCCTCCTGCGCAGGAACAGATGGCAGTCGGGAACGGATTTCCCCATAATCATTAAAATGAAGGCATGAAGCCAGACCGCGCTAATTGAAGAAAAACACACTTACTGCAAGACAGTAACTTTTAATTGTTACACTATCTACCCTTTCTCAGAAGTCAGTTTCAAAGGGCTGGGAGACTCTGGAGAGTCAAACCGACCCTATCTGATACACCACACACACACACACACACACACACACACACACACACACACACACACAAGAAAAAAATCTATATTGCTCTGCCTAGCATAGAAATGCTTTAAATCTACAGGTGTAAAGGAGAACTCTGGTTTGTTCCACACCCCAAACAAAATCATACCTTAAACGGCTGAACTGTCTGAGCCAGAATGTTGAGGACCTGCTTTGATCTCTCCTGGTCTTTTGCTGGATGCCCAGCTTATACCATCAGGTCCTGTTTATTCTGTGTCCTAAAAGCATCTGGAGCCAATGTATTTTGTTCTCACCTCTGTTGTTAGGACGTAGCCACCTTCACCTTTTAGAGGTGACATCCTCCCCTAGAGCAAAGCAGGGTTGGACAGGGCCATTACACTCGCTCTGCATCTTATGAATGGTGTTCAGTTTGAAAAAGACTAAGAAACAGGATTTTGTAGCAGTGTTCAGCAAAAGACAAATGGGCAAAAGCAGGTGATCACCAGATAAATACAATTTCAGAAGAAAACTGAAACAATTGTAATTAATAAATGTAAAAAAAAAAAAAAACAGAAGAAACGGTAGAGAAACCTATTACAGCTTTTGGCGTCGCTACTTAGGGATCCAATATGGAGGCTGGGGAGACAGTTCAGTAGGTAAAGTGCCTGCAATGCAAACATGAGTATTTGAATTCAACTCCCAGCACCCAAGGAAAAGGCCAGCCACAAGGAAGTACAAGTCTACAGTCTCAACACTAAGGTCATGGTGGAGACAGGCAAATCCTAGAATTTTTTTGACCAGACAGTCTAGCCAGTGGATGGGGTCTAGGTTCAGTAAGAGACCCTGTCTCAAAAGTTATAGTACAGAATTATAGTGGAGGATACTTGATGCCAACCTTTGGCCTACACACATATATACTACACACACACACACACACACACACACACACACACACACACACACACACACACACACGCTGCCTGAAGGGCATACAGTACTCTAAACACATCCTTCATAAATTGTGAAGAATAAAGATGCTTATAGCCAAATATCTATAAGGCATTAATTGTGTTTGCCTATTCTAAAAACTTATAACAAAATAAGAAAGCATTAGTGAACTTTTTGGGATAAACAAAAAAAAAAATAAGTCCAAAGAAACATGAAAACTCAGTTTAAAAGTAAGAAGGATGGGGAGTATAAATATACAGATGTATATAAATAGATATTGGCTGTATGAAACTGTCCTAACATTGGTTTGTGGAATTCACAGCATAAAGAAAACGAAAACTCAAAAGTTCAGGAATATATGAAAACAAAATAATTTAAATTTCTATTCTTACCAAGGAAACAGTAAGAGCCACACAGGAAAGGCACAAATGAAGCCACATACAGACCTAAGTAGTGCCATCTGGACGCATCCACACAGGTTTTTATTATTATTTCTCTTATTTTTTGAGATTATTATACAATTGCATATTTTTTAAAACAAAATGCTGTCTTAGACCCATGGTAGTGGTTTCCTGAATAGAGAAGACTCATTCTGTGGAACTTACTGAATGATTTCAAGCAAATTCTGGGTGACCTTGAATAGCAGTGTTTTTTTCCCCTTGGCTTGGAGGCATTGATTTCCATTTGTTTACTCAATTATAGCTCCTAAATTGGGACTATGTGGGGTTTCCTTGGTCAGTGCTGTACTTTGTGTTTTAATTAAAATATAATTAAGTCACTTTCCCCATTCCCTTGCCTCCAACTAAGCCCTCCTAAGTCCAACCACTTCCATGTCTTCCTTTCTACTCTCAAGTTGACAGCCTCTTCTTTCCCAGTCATTTTTTCCGTGTGTGTGTGTGTGTGTGTGTGTGTGTGTGTGTGTGTGTGTTATCTCAGGCTGGCCACTTCATATTGCAGAGTACGATTTTTTAAAAGCCTTCGAATGCAGAGGACTCTTTCCCAAATACTTTGCCATTTGCTTTGTGGTCTCTGTGACTAGCCAGACATCTATGCCATATCCTAGATCCCTGATAAACTAACTTTCAGGCCTCTATGGGCATCACAGAATGAGGCTCAAAAAGAGGCAGATGATTTATTCATCCAGTTCACTATCCACGACAGACAGAAAGAGTGTGCATCTGATGTAGCGGTGCTATGCATGTATACTCAGCTCAACCAAGCCCTGCAGGTGCAGGAGGATGGCTGATAGTCGGTGCTCAGCACCTGCTGAGGAATCTAAGAGGGAAGCATAACTGACCATATGCAATGAGGGAGGCCAAGGCAGCTCCTTAAAGAGAAAAACATGGAGAAAAAGCTAGAGTACACAAAATCGAGGAGACAAGGAAACACCAGGTATCGACAGAGAAAGATGGCTACTCCTTTGACAGCATCCTGGTAGATCATTTTAGTCCTACTCTGATAAATAGAAGTTTCGTTATTCTCAAAATCTGAACATGGCTTACAGTATCGAACATGACTAACATTAGGCATGAGCGAGAACATTTTTCTTTTCTATTCTTTTAAATTTAAACAAAACTTTATTGCAGAAAGCCAATTATCACATAATTGGATACTCTTCTGTTCTTTCACAATTATTCTTGAGCTCTACCGAAAGATTGTTCATGAAGTCATCTGGTGATGGCAAGCATTACAATTCTGACTGTAAGAGAATAGCAGTAGAAATGCCTAACTGAGTCCAGCAAGATGGCTCAGTGGTAAAGGTCACAAGACTGTGGACCTGAGTTCAATCCCTGAGGCCCACACAGAAGAAGGAAGGAACTGACATGAAAACTTAGCTCTGATCCCTACACCCTGGTATGCATGCATACACATACAAAAGAAATAAAATGTTTAGAAAGAAGCAATGATTTAAATTAAAAGCATGACACTGGTACATGCTTCTTGTCCTCAGTATCAAGAACATACGAATGTCTTTATTCACAAATACAAAGTAAATTATCAGTAAGCATGGACAATGACAGCAGCAAAATACTATATCTTGTCTACTGAACCCAGCAACTGATGAGTACAGTGATCAGCCAGCCTTTCATTCAGTCATGTTCTTCAGTTGACTTCTCTGAAGTACTCAGTGAGGAATCTGCCTTGAGTGTGCAGTCACAGTTCATTGATAATAGCAAAGCACTATTCTAGGAGGTAGGACATAGCCACCTCCCATATCCTGCCTCACTTCTGTTCATTGTACACATTCCAAGGTCTTTCTCTTATGAAATAATTTCTGTCACTACAGCTTTTCCTGTCATCAACAGAAAGGCCACCCTCAGCAGCTTCCAGAAAAGATATTTTTTTTACAGCTTTCCTGGATCAGTAAGTCCTTTTTCTACCATATTCCTAAAATCTCCAAACATAACATCATAACCAAATTGTAAAAAACCTTGCACAAATTTTTCAACTATGAAGGATCCTTCAATACCATAATTTTTGGAAATAAGCATTGCATGCATTTCTAATTGCTCTTTTAAAACTTTTTATGCCAATTTTCTGATCTCCATTAGCAGGTTTTAATGTGGC